TTTTGCTCTCCGTAAGTTTGACTTTTACATAGACGGAGTTGCGTTTGTGATTGAAACGGACCACATGGCGCTCACGTGGTTGAGGCGTTTGAACGAACCAAGTGGCCGATTGGCGCGTTGGGCATTGTTGCTGCAGCGTTATGACTTCACCGTCCGCTACCGCAAGGGTAAGAACAATGCCGCGGCCGACGCACTATCGCGTGCTCCAGTTCGACACGAGGCAAGTCACGCGACTAATTCGGAACGAACTGAGAGCGAGACACTCGCGCTAACGCAAACAGCGGAGCAAACGTTAGTTCGAGCTAAGAGCGTGAACCACGTAGAGGCTGTCGTTAGCGCAGGGATTGTTTTCAGCAGAAGGGAGCTGTTAGAAGCTCAGCAGAAAGATCCATTTTGTCGAAAGGTGTTCGACGGGCTCCGGGAGCCGGGTGGTAGTGAGGCCACCGCGCACAAGGGGGCAGCTGGTATTGCTGTCGGTGCGGAGCGCTCGGCAACAGCTGGTAGTGCTGTGAGCGCGCTGGATTCATATCTGCTAGATTCTGACGGCGTCCTGCTGAGGTACATTCCATCCGACGATGACACAAGTGAGTCATTTAAAGTCGTGATACCGCGCGCGTTGAGAGGAGCGCTTCTTCGCTACTTTCATGACTCGTGCATTGGTGGGCATGCGAGCGGCCCTAAGACTTACGCTAAGTTGTGTCGCCTCGCTACCTGGCCAGGTATGAAGCGGGATGTGATTCGCTACGCCCGTTCATGTCGTGTGTGCCAAAGCGTCAAGCCGCGAGGAGGACGTCCGCCCGGCCTCATGCAACCGATTAACAGTCAGACTCCCTGGCAAATCGCAGCGTGTGACGTAATGGGCCCGTACCCCTCAACTCCTAGCAGAAATAAGTTCTTGCTGGTGATCACGGATCACTTCACTAAATGGGTAGAACTTTTTCCCCTTAGGAAGCTGACGGCTCGAGTGATTTTAGAGAAGTTGATGGAGGTTTTTACCAGGTTCGGGTTCCCCGAGCAGTTGATTACAGACAACGCGTCTTATTTCACTGCGAAGGTGTTTGTTGACACGTGCGCCGCGTTGGGCATTAAGCACAAGAAAACAACCACCTACCATGCTCAGTCGAACCCCACGGAGCGAGTCAATCGCAACATCAAGCACATGCTTGTCGCGTTCTCTGAAAGACATAAGGACTGGGATACCTATCTTCCAGAGATCGGTTTTGCATTACGATCGACCGTAAACCGATCGACTGGGTATGCGCCTTCTTCTCTGAACTTGGGGAGAGAACTGCCGAATCCGATGGAGACCGTACTCGCGGACCGCAGTGGAGTGCCAGTGGCGACATCAGCACGCGCTGAATACGCAACGCAGCTGCGCGAGAAGCTAGCGGAAGCTTTACATAAAGCTCGACATAATCTCAGCACTGCTAGGGCACAGCAGAAGGCGCAGTATGACCGCACGCGTAGGAACGTACACTACGAAGTGGGCGATCTGGTGATGCGGCGCCATCATGTTCTCAGTAATGCTAGCAAACAGTTTGCTGCCTCGCTGGCACCGAAATGGGCCGGGCCGTACCGAGTGCGAGAGAAAGTTTCTTCGCTCGTTTATCGACTCGCGAACATGAAAGGCAAACCGAGCGGCGGACCGGTGCATGTATGTGACTTGAAACGCTACATAGCACGGGAGGCGCATGAGGACTACGGTCAGTCCCCCTCCAAGCCGCGCGCGGCGGGTGAGATGGTTCGACACCGGGTCAGGAGCCCAGAACCGCGCTACTTCCTGCGTAACAGTCGGAGGCAACTATGCACGGTAGGCCGCGTTTGATATGTTCGACGCGGGGTGCAAGGGTTAGCGCGCAACACATGTGCGATTGTTAACCTGTCGTTCTTTATCTGTATCACTCTCACCGAACAGATGGAGCGCCATTGGGAACAGCACCGCCGGAACAGCAAGGAGAGGAGACCACCTCCTTACGGCCAGCCCCCACCCCCACCAACGTCCACATGGCAGCCCTACCCCACTGCGGCCCGGCCGCGAACGCCGAGGCAGAGCCACTCGAGCCGCCGCCACCGAGGGGGTCCGCGCGCGCTGCCGCCTGGTCACCAACTCTCGGCTTCGCCGTCACCATCACGACCCGCCGGTTCACAGGGAACGAGACCAGGGTCCCAACGCGGCGAGCCGACCGCATCGCCTCACGGCCGCAACCACCGAGACGTGGCAACCTGGACCAGCCAGGATGGAGGCGACCCTCCGGTGTCTTACGTCTCCTCGAGGCCCTGGCGCCGGCAGGAAAGGGCCCGAGTTGGGGTCGCCCCAGCGCACCTGTATCGCCCTTTTCAGGGGCGCACGGTAGAGGACGCGGACCGGAGGGCTAACGGGGCTTGCCTTCCAGTGCCCGCAGGGACGCGGTTCTGCGAGTGCGGCGCCGTGGTGATCCATAACTCCCACGAATTGGGGAAATTACACCGGCACCGCACCCAGGCTACCCAACCATCCAGCCGCGAATCATCCCAGGAGCGCTCCGGCGCCGCGGTTCGGGCCATGCTGGCGCGGGCGGCCCAGGAGGCGGACTTCGCGCAGTGGCTGCTGAGAGTTGCCTCAGGCCACGCGTCCAGCGAGAGTCCGCCTGCGCCGCTATCAATAACGGCTACCGTAGAGCGGGGGGCGGCGGGGCCGGGAGAGACATTGGTGGCGGCTGCATTGACACCGGAGGTGGCGTCAATGACCTTGGAGGCGGGTGAGAGAGCGGTGGGGGCTCCGGCGGTGCCCGCGGCAGACACCGAACGGTCCGAGGGCATGGACGTAGACCAGGCCCTTCTGGCCTATCTAGAGGACGAATAAAACGAATTATTCCCTCTTTGCAGTCTCTGTCGTTCGGGGGCCTTCTTAAGGGGGGAGGAGATGTGGGGAGCAGGTGCGCCCAGCCTCCCTTTCCCTTTTAGGGCAGCGCACGCGCCTGGTTGCGGGGACCCCTTCCCCCACGGCCGGCGCGTGCGATTCCCCCCCCCTTTCCCGGCGCCAGGAACAGGTTCCCCTCTCCCTCAGCGAGGAAAGGTACCATTCTCGTCAGGGAAAGGGAAATCGGGTCGGGGAACAAACGAGCGGGCAAACGGGCGCTCGCTCTCTGACACCAGCGACCATCCCAGGAGGACGAACCCGCAACCCCTCCTGCGAGCCGAGGACGTCCACGACCGAGGTGTAAGCGTCAACACCTTTGTTATCTGTAGTATCTCCCCGCGACAGTGACGCGCGATTGCTAACGCTTAGCAATAAAGTGTTTGTTGTTGATCTGGCCAGTTGCCTTATTCGCCCGAACCCGTAGTAGTAGCTGCAATGAGGCAAGCTACGGTTGGGGGACGTTGACCGTGCACGGAACGACTGTGTGCGGCTGAAACATTAGCTATAGGCTTCTGCGTCAGCCGTACATAGGACGGTCCCCCAACAGGCTTGGCTGCACGAAGTACTTCGCTCCGTCAGCCGCCATGTTTGTTTTGACATCCCGCACTGTTACAGCGGCGGCCACCTGTTGGTCGACCTGTGTTCATCCTTTTTTTATTCCTGAGACCACGTTTTTTTTGTGGGGGCTTTGTGATAGTCTGTTGAAGCGCCGTTTCCCAATGGGGCGGTATGCGAGCTTTGCTGCCGCGTTCAAGCTGAAGGCGCTTGACTACGCGCTAGAGCACGGCAACCGCGCTGCCGGCAGACATTTCGGCGTCGACGAAATCCGGATCCGATATTGGAAAAAAACAGAGCGACATGCTCATGGCTACTAACAGCACGCGATGAGCTTTCCGCGGACCCAAATCTGGCAAGTTCCCTGACATTGAAAAGGCAGTCCTCGCATACATGAAGGACATGCGCAAGAACGGTTATGCAGTGTCATCATTAGACATGATACGGACGCAGGCGTGCAGTTTCTCGGAGGCTGGGAATAGCCACAAAGGACATCCGCGCCAGTTCCGGCTGGACGACACGCTTCATGCGGCGGAATGGACTGTCGCTGGCATTTCCAACGCGCTCGACGGAACGGAAGATGACCCTCTGTGAAACAGTGAAGACACTGCCAGTTCCGACAGGAAATCGTGCGGCGACGACACTGACGCCAGTGATGCCTCGGAGTCTGAATGAACGTTAGGGGGTCAGTGAGGTAAAAAATAAAAGGGCAGTGTGCCATGCATGTAGCTCCTGCGTAATGCGTGCATTTTATTACAAAGGTAAGGCTTAATTTACTTTTATTTTTGGTTATGCTCATGATAGCTACCGTAAAAATTCTGATTAGCGACTTTTTTGCGTTTCCGGTGCTCAGAATATATTTTCACAGAAAATTTACCCCGCGTAATGATCGCATCCCGAAGTTGGAGTCAATTTTTTGAAAAAAAAGTGCAATCATTATGCCAGTATATACGGTATAACGAACTCACATTTCACAGGAAATTAAGTTCATTATATCCTAAAATTCGTCATAAAGGTATATTAACATTGTATCTGTTGCGAGGCCATTTTTATTTACTTCGTTAAAACCAGTATTTCGTTATACCAAGGCTTGAGTTTGTAAGATGGTAATCCCAATAATGTCCTTTTGTAGGCAATTTATCATTGTTTCTGGATGACAACCATTGTTTGTCTATGTCACTGTTTGCCAAATCATTCTTTTCCTGTATAACTTTTTCTAGATGATAATCACAGTACAATATATTTACACAACTTAATCATGTTGTTTATAATTCGCCATCCGTACATGCATGAGAATCACAATTTCAATGTGTACACCCTACAGTATCACACTGCCTGTAAAGTAACTTATTGCTATATATACAGTGGTGCTTCTACCTCTCGGACTTTTTTTTGTTTGTTTTCATGCAATTTTTTTCTGGGGCTGTCAACTAGTGAAGTTGTTTAATGCACATCTTTTCAATTCACAGCCCTTGTTTTCTGAAACACAGAATGAAACATAAATTTCATTTCACTCGATACGAGACTGTGCCCTTGGACGACGTACCCATGCGATTCACCTATCTTGCCAGAGACGTCCTTCTCCTCCACTCCGTATTTCTCCAGGTTGAATTCGGTGCTTGCACAAGACGACAGTTCAGCCGAGCTCCCGGGCGATTTGACGAACGTCAGCAGGCCCTGCAAGTTCACAAATGCACAGACAGATTGGTTAAAATGAATTTTCAAATGACACTCTGATATTGCCTTTAGAGATTACTCCACTGCATACACCAAGATATTTTGCTATTTTCAGCCCAGAGCAACTGTTCTCCCGATCAACATGCAGCTGAAAATGTCCCTTCCCTTTACTCACTGTCACAAGCCTCGGGCACGTGTAAAAGACAAAACACAGCTGTACTCAGCATGCAAAATAACTTTCCTTTACCATGTACTTTCAAAATGAAAGTGGTGCATTCGAATCAGCGCTTCACTGGGAACGGGTAAGACGTATGCAGGTCCCGTGTGAACCGATGCGATCTGACAACGAAATGTGCTCGGCCAAATGAACATCAATCTAATGCTACCAACACACTGGTCTCATGCAGGCACACGAGAGGCCACGAAAATTCCAAACCCATGACCAATGGCCGCCTATTAATGGGTACTAAGCAAGCGCTGAGTGTTAACTGTGGATCTTGAATGCTTGAATGAACACTTAAATGGCGAAAAGTAGCCGAAAGACAGCAGCTGGCACGTTGTCATCCCAGTTGCAGATGCGGAGATTATTGACACTCATTGTAACATTTTTGGAAGCACAAAGCTAATACTGTTGGCAGTCCCAACGAGGACAAAGAGCAGGAGGACGAACACCTGCTGTGAAATGAAGTTGAATGCATGGCCAGTGACCATGGCCTCGTGCAATTGCTAGGTCGAAGTCAAGCTTGGGTTGCTCGAACCTGGCAAGAAGTTGAAACAGCCAAAGCTCAGTCTTTTCGCACCTGAATAAAGCTTTGCATCTCTGAATACTTTAACTTCTTACTTCGTTGCAGTCACGGTGCAAACAAAGCTCGACTGCTTCAGCTTTTCTCGAGCAGTTACTTGTACCAAAAGAACGCTCAAATGAATTTTTTTGCCGCCTCACAGATTTTGTTACAACAAGGGCTTCTACTGAACTACAGACGAATCTCGATAATTCGAACTTGAAGGGGTCCGAAAACTTGTTCGAATTAAAAGAAGTTCGAATTAATGAAAGCTAAGTAAACGGAGAGCTCCCCATGCAGTGGCGCATGTGCACTGAGCTAACATGATTGATTTGCGATTGATTTGTGGGGCTTAACATCCCAGAACCACCATATGATCATGAGAGACACCGTAGTGGAGGGCTCCGAAAATTTCGACCACCTGTGGTTCTTTAACGTGCACCCAAATCTGAGTACATGGGCCTACAACATTTCCGCCTCCATCGGAAATGCAGCCGCCACAGCCGGGATTTGATCCTGCGATCTGCGGGTCAGCAGCCGAGTACCTTAACCACTAGACCACCGTGGTGGGGCGCATTGAGCCAACACACGAGGGGGAAGTTTAAGAAGACTTACATTTATTCACAAATAACAGGACATGCGTTATTAATTGAAGTAATCGGTGATGCACATCTGCACACGTTTGCCTTGCAGTGAGTCAATCAATTTTGCACACAGCTTGCAAAGCATGTCTACTACGGCTTCAGCATTCTCCTGGCAAGAGAAGTTGCATGCGTCAATGTCCAGCGCCGAAACTTTCGAAAGACGACGACAACAACGACTGCAACTGCGCTACTACCCTCTGCGCCAAAGCTGCAGTGTGGCTAGCACGTGACTAGAAAGGTATAGCGCCTCCACGCCGAGAAACGCAGATCGGCATTTGAGAGAAAACCAACACTCCACAGCAGCTTTTTTTTCTTTCCTTTTGCTCTCTTTGCATGCGTCGTTGAAAGGAGAAGGGTTACGTGGCAGGGATGGGAAAAGAGCAAGCGTGGCACAGCCGCGTGAAAGAGAGCCACACTCCGCGACAGCTTTTTTTTTTTTCTCTCTCTCTCTTTTTGCGCGCGGCATTGGAAGGAGAAAGGTCTATACGTGGTAGGAGCGGAAAAGGGAGAAGTGTGACACAGGCACGTCGCAGATCGGCATGTAAGAGAGAGCAAACATTCCACCGCAGCCTTTTCTTTCCTTTTCCTTTCCTTCGTGCGCAGCGTTGAGGTGTCGGAGGTGTCACCGCGGGATTGGGCGGGGTGCTGAGAGAATTTGCGGAGCGCGGTATGTTCGAATTAACTGTCGCAAGTGCTTGCGCGTTTGAATTACCGAGCATTCTCACTAGTCGGAATACACATAGCTTTGACAGGATCTCACAGTGAGTTCGAATTAACCGGAAGTTTGAATTAAGCGTATTCGAATTGATGAGATTCGGCTGTATTATATCGAGAGGGTCAACCTATATTCTGGTCTGATGTTTATTCCAGTTTTCAAAGTGCACACACTTATTAAAAATTTTATTATTCAAATACCCTAAGAGCCACTGACAAGAATTACGCAGAGGGGGGAGGGTTATATTGAGTCTGGAGGGCAATAAACAATTGTATCGGGCCAATTGGTAAGGATCCATCTTGCTAGGAAGCGCAGCCACTATTACAAAGAACACACAACACAAGCGCTTGTGTTGTGTGTTCTTTGTAATAGTGGCTGCGCTTCCTAGCAAGCTGGAGGGCAAGTTACAATAGGAGACATGTATGCTGATTAGCAGCAGTAAAATGGAGCAAACAATATCATGGTCCCATTCAAAAGTCCAACATTGTAGGCATACAACAAATTATTGAGCGATATTAAGCAAACTATTTAACATTTGTAGAAATGCTTCGTGGTTTACTGTAGACACAATACCGTGTAGTAGGTTATGGCACACCACAGTGTTGAGTTATTCAAGGGGCTAGTACGCGCACACGGAATGTAAACACTGAAGGGGTGATCTAGCCATGGGAGGATATGATGAGTAAGCAATATGTGAGAGGTAGTAGATGACGAATGATTATGATGAGTCTTGTGAAAATTACGTAATATACTTTTTCCTTCTGCCCCCCCCCCCCTCCAAAGTGGAGAATTTGCACGTCACCATCTTCTCATTTTTGCAATATAATATCGAGTATCTGGGCATAGTGTTGCATAAATTTGACACAGAGATGCACAGTCCACCATGATTTGTGTCATAAGGCAATACCTCTTTCCTGTGCCTCTGCATCTCAGTGTTAGCTCTACCTAGGCATCTCAAAATTACTGCCGCAGATGCGTGACACTCACCCGCTTTCCACAGGCAACACCGGCACGCGACCCAAACTCCACGGAGGCGTCGCGGAGTCCCTGCCCATTGACAAAGACGGTTGTTGCCTTGTAGGCGGCGGCAAGCTCCAGGGCAGCGGGCAGCCTCTCTGTCCACACGCCCACTTCCGAGTGATGCAATGCGCTGTTCACCAGTGTCACCGACTCCTTAGTCGTGCGGAACTGGGTCACCAACACCAGAGGCCAACCAACCTGCAATTATTCGTGTATGGTAGAAACAGTCAATAAGCAGTGTAAAACAAAGTTCTCATGCTGTGGACATTATCCCTACTTATATTGTAGGCATTCATTAAGCACATCTACTTTCTTTACACATATTCATCATCATGAGTGGTCATCTTCATCTGCTGTGGGGACTTGGCTTGTCTGAGTTCTGTGCCTTGGGCGTGGTCGCTTCATCGTGTCTTCTGGGCCTAATAAAGGTTGCCTTCACCGTTACATCACAAGTGGTGGAGTGTGCTCTACGATCTTCCGTCCTCTCCCAGCCCGATCTGCCTCCTGGAGCTGCGCTCAGGTCGTCGTTTGTACCAGGTGTCCGGTAACATGCCTCAGGACGAGCCAACCGGCGCTTCTGCGTCTACCTCCACGGCCCCGGCTACCACGGCCTATCCAACGTGGATTATCACCGCGCACCAGCGTGAGCCGCCCACGTTCGCCGGACTTCGAGGTGAAGATGTGGAAGATTGGTTGGACCAGTTCAATCGAGCGAGTTCCACTAACAACTGGGATGATCCTACCAAGCTTCGCCGTGTTTCTTTCTACCTCACAGGCGTAGCGAAAACATGGTTTTTCAATCATGAAACGGACATTACGGACTGGACACGCTTCAAGCAACAGCTTCGCCAAATTTTCGGCACCCCGGCGGTTCGTTCAGCTCTCGCGAAGAAGACACTGGATTCTCGCAAGCAACAATGCGGTGAGTCCTACACGGTGTACATAGAGGATGTGCTTGCTCTCTGTCACCGTTTCAGCACGTCCATGTCAGAATCAGAGAGAGTTCGTCATCTATTGAAAGGGATAGGCACGGTCGCGTTCAGTGCCTTGGTCATTCAAAACCCGACTACAGTCGCTGACGTCGTTGCCACGTGCCAACGCCTAGAGGAACTTGAATCCCAACGGTTACCGCCAGACAGCTCTGAAAACACTACCACGACTGATGCCTCATTGCGTGCCATGATCCGGGCGATTATACGGGAAGAGCTGCAATCTTTCGGCCTCTCAATGACACCGAGTCCACCTCCCCCCTTTAACACTGTTTTGCGGGATGTTATCAAAGAGGAGTTGGCGTCCATGACCGGGCCAGCGTTTGTAGAGTCTCCAGTACCTCGACTCCAGCCGACGTACGCACAAGTCCTCGCTGGCTCACCACCCGTGGTACAACCGATGCCCGCACACTCAACGCCTGTCCCGCTGGCTTCGTTAACTCCGAGTGTGACTAGCCAGCCCTTTCACCCACCGTGGCGGCCGCATCGTCCGATCTGTTATTACTGCGGCTATCGGGGCCACATTGCACGCGTCTGTCGGAAGCGTCAGCAGGACGAGCGTCGTGGACTCGACACCTACGGACGGGATGATGGGACAAGCTGGTACGCTTTCCAACGTCGTCCTTATGATCCGCCGCTACGCCGCTCACCGTCTCCAACTGCGACATCTGAGCCAACCAGTTCCTACCGCTCTACTAGACGCCGCTCACCCTCACCCCTCCGCCGTTCCACGTCTCCATTGCGACCTGTGTCGCAATTCACCAACCAACGCCCGGAAAACTAACCTCTGCAGCTTTTGGAGGAAAAGCTGCATCGAACGAAAAGACAGAAATTCCTCCAGTGCGTCCATATAATACGATAGCTGTTTTAATAGAAGGTGTGTACGTGGACGCTTTAATAGACACTGGTGCTTCTTTGTCTGTCATTGATCGTTCTTTGTGCTCACGTCTACGAAAAGTCACCACCCCTTATGATGGACCTACACTGCACGCTGCTCAAGGGGACGCCATTAGACCTGCCGCTATGTGCACCGCTCATGTTTTCATAGCTGGTATTCTTCATTTTGTACAATTTGCTGTGCTGAATTCGTGTGCCCACCAGATTATATTAGGCTGGGATTTTCTGTCTACGGCGAACGCTTCCATCTGCTGTCGAGAAAATGTTGTTCATATGATGGAAACTGACTATGCCCTGTATGCGGATGACAAGCCCATTCGCTTGCTCGCTGCTGAAGAGACCGAGCTACCACCTGGTCATCAGCGGATAGTTGCCATCACTTCTAATGTGATCGACTCTGGTGACGTGTTTGTCCAACCATCTGCACGCTGTCTCGCAAGAGGTATAGCCCTTGCTTCAGGTCTAGTGCGATTCCACAATGGCTCCGGACTTCTCTACGCTACAAACCAGACTTCTGAGAAAATTCTCATTCCTAAAGGCACCACAATGGCTTGCGTTTCTGAATCTCAACCTGCCTCTGTTGTCCCGCTTATGCCAGCGTGTTCTGACCTTCCTTCTATTGGACGTTCATCAAGCGTTTCTGTTCTTGCTGCGACTATTAGTCCAGAACTGACCTCTTCACAGACAGATGAGTTGCTTGCCTTGCTACAAAAGCATAGCAGATTGTTTGATGCCCATTCCTCATCTCTGGGACAGACGTCCATAATTAGTCATCGTATCCAGACCGATGGCACTTCCATCGTACGCCGTTGACCATATCGCGTCTCTTCGTCCGAGCGTGAGATCATTGAACAAAATGTAGCCGATATGCTGCAACGGAACATTATACGTCCCTCCACGAGTCCTTGGTCATCCCCTGTTGTTTTAGTAAGGAAAAAAGATGGCTCCAGTGCGATTCTGCGTGGACTACAGAGCACTTAATAAGATTACCCACAAGGATGTTTACCCCATGCCGCGCATAGACGATGCTTTGGATTCACTGCAAGGTGCTGAGTACTTCTCAAGCCTAGACCTGCGTTCAGGTTACTGGCAAATACCCATGCACGAGCATGACAAAGAAAAGACAGCGTTTTCAACACCAGATGGGCTGTATGAATTCAACGTCATGCCATTCGGCCTTTCCAATGCTCCAGCAACATTCGAGCGGATGATCGACACAGTTTTACGAGGCTTGAAGTGGAAGACTTGCTTGTGCTATTTAGACAATATCGTTATTTTCTCGTCAACCTTCCCTCAGCACTTGCAACGACTGGACGAAGTTCTTACGTGCCTTGCAAACGCAGGCCTTCAGCTGAACACCAAGAAGTGCCGTTTTGCGAGCAAGACGATTAAAGTGTTAGGCCACATCGTAAGCAAGGACGGTATTCGTCCCGATCCTGACAAGATTTCCGCTGTCCAACACTTCCCGCGTCCTGAAAAAGCCAAAGATTTGCGCAGTTTCCTCGGCCTCGCTTCTTATTTTCGCCGATTCATTCGAGACTTCGCCTCAATAGCTTCACCATTGCACAAGTTGCTCAGATCAGGCGTCGCCTTTGTGTGGTCTCCTGAATGTGAAGCGGCGTTTGCCCAACTGAAGTGTGCACTCACATCCGAACCAGACCTCTGCCATTTCGACGAAACCGCGCCTATGCTCCTGCATACAGACGCTAGTGGTCGAGGCATTGGTGGAATTCTCCTACAGCGAGACAAATCTTCACGTGAGAAAGTCGTCGCATACGCGAGCCGTGCACAGACCCCTGCTGAAAAAAATTATACCATCACCGAACAGGAGTGCCTAGCGGTCGTATGGTCGATACAAAAGTTTCGACCTTATCTCCACGGCCGCCACTTTACTGTGGTTACGGACCATCACGCCTTGTGCTGGCTCTCGACAATCAAGAACTTGTCCGGCCGCCTTGGTCGCTGGATTCTTCGCTTACAAGAATACGACTTCACTATCACATACAAGTCGGGAAACAAGCACCAAGACGCCGACGCACTTTCGCGTTGCCCGCTCTCTTCGGAGCCGCTTAACAAACCCGCCACTGCCGCACACGAGAAGCTTTCAGCCGTCTCTTCCCTACATGTTTCGTCATTAACTACTTTGGACCCAACTTCTCCAAGCGAGTGTGGTTTGTTCTTATCTCACCAACGTGCTGACCCTTACTGTCGCCGCATCATGAACCGTCTTGACGGGACTTGCCGGCCCCCTAACGCCCGTCTTCGCCGACAGCTGACGCAATTCAAGCTCAACAACCACGTCCTGTACCGTCATATCTACCACCCTGATGGTCAACGCTGGGTGCCCGTTTTACCTCGCTCTCTTCGGGCTCAAGTCCTCAAGACATATCACGACGACATGTCTGCTGGACACATGGGCTTCCAGAAAACGTATGACCGCATAAATGTCACTACTACTGGCCGGGCTTGTCCACCTGTGTCGCGAAGTACGTTGCCTCATGCGCCCTTTGTCAGCGCCGCAAGCTACCTACATCAACTCGAAGTGGACAATTACAACCTCTCCCGTGTCCCCTGCAACCATTCGAGGTAGTTGGCATTGACCTGTATGGTCCCCTTCCTATGACTGTCACGGGCAATCGATGGATAGTTACAGCTGTCGACCACCTGACCCGCTACGCCGAAACAGCTCCCGTGCCTTCTGCATCAGCTTCGGAAGTGGCCGACTTCATCCTTCGAGCAATAATCCTTCGACACGGAGCTCCTCGTGTAATCCTGAGCGACCGTGGAAGAGTATTTCTTTCAGCACTCGTCGAAGAAGTGCTCAAGGCAGCCGGCACTACACACAAAACAAGCTCCAGTTACCATCCTCAGACGAATGGCCTGACTGAGCACTTCTATCGTACACTGTCAGATATGATTGCGATGTATATCGAACCCGACCACAGAAACTGGGACGCCATTTTGCCATTTGTCACTTTTGCGTATAATACCTCTGTACAGCGCACAACCGGTTACTCGCCGTTCTACCTCGTCCACGGTCGCTTCCCCTCTTCTTTCCTCGATGTTTCGTTCTTCTCTGCGCCTATCAAACCATGTTCATCTTCAAGTGAAGAATACGTGTCTCGTCTACTTCATTGCCGCCAGCTGGCTCGCGTCAACACTGAAGCCAAGCAACAGGATCGCAAGCTTGAATATGATGCCTCTCATCGTGCCGTGTCTTTCAACCCTGGTGACGAAGTCCTCCTTCTTACACCCATTCGCACTCCCGGACTGTGCGAGAAGTTTCAATTACGTTTTATTGGCCCCTACACTGTCTTGGAGCAAACATCTCCTGTGAATTATCGCGTGGCACCCGTTCTTCTTCCGACGGACCGCCGCTACAGGGCAGCAGAAATAGTCCACGTATCCCGCATGAAGCCTTTCATACGGCGTTCATCTTCGCTTTAAAATGCGGCCAAGAGCTGCGGTCAGGATGACCGCTTTCACGTGGGGGGGAAGTTAGTGTAGGCATTCATTAAGCACATCTACTTTCTTTACACATATTCATCATCATGAGTGGTCGTCATCTTCATCTTCTGTGGGGACTTGGCTTGTCTGAGTTCTGTGCCTTGGGCGTGGTCGCTTCATCGTGTCTTCTGGGCCTAATAAAGGTTGCCTTCACCGTTACATCACAATATATACACCCCCCCTCCTTTCCCCACATGATGCTCTGATGAAGAAGCCAGTTAGGTAATTTGAATATATTAAAATTAAACAAGTGCCGGTGCATTACATGCTAAAGCCGAGCCATGGTCAGTCAGACATTAATACAACAAAGAGAGACATAACAAACTGTCAATAAATGAAGTGAACAAAAATAGTCTTGCCGCTCTTATAGCACTCTGAACATAAACTTATTATGAATTTTCAAATATAACAAGTCTATTTTCATATTGTATACTATTTCAATTGATGAGGTTTCACTTCATGTGACATGGAATTGTGGCAAATTCTTCATTAACATTTACCACTTGTGGTTGCTTAGTGTCTATGCAAACGAAAAGAGGAGTTTTTGCATATTTTTGCCCTACCGAAATAAATCTGCTGTGACAGCAAATCAAATTGTGGTCAGCAATTGAACAACACAGCCCAACAGTGGCTAGCCCACCCATCAAAGAAAGATTTATCGCTCAAACCTATACATACCCTGTGGGGTCTAAATAATCTCCTAAGTCTCCGTACGCTTTGCTGAAAATGACTTGCTAATAGTCTTGCTGACACTGATGAAAATGATGCTGTAGATGTAAATAGCAGCCTTGTTACAATTTTTTTTCTTTGTTCACAGACACCGCATGGTGAGTATGCATTCCCAAATGCTTAGCCGAGGTTCTTGAGACAACACGAACCTAATATCCCGCTTTTTGTCGGTGTTATCGCATGCTTTTAATCATTCTTCTCATGAACAACCGGAACCTAATATGACCCCCACCCTAAAAAAACTGCGGAAAATTTTTGAGAAAATCCCCATATGTAGCTATGAAGTCAACTAACCCACTGAAGCTCGCATACTACTCGCGTATTGACCTAAGCTCCACAGTTCCTGTATTTCTTATGCAGGTTATATGCACAAAAATGAGGTATTAGACACCATCCCTGCAGCCTGTGAAATTTTAAATTCATAACGGTGAACATGAGCCCCACAGAAACACTGCATAAGAGGAGGACGAACAATGAGTAGCGCATATATTTGCCTATATTTACCCTGCACTTTTGTTAAAACACTTCACTACAAGTATTTAAGTACATATGTTCAGGCTCATGACTCATGCAATGGATGGTGCCAAGTGGCACAACAAGATCGGGAACAAAAATTCACAGTTTTGTGGAAACTGTGAAGCAATAGCAAGTCTGGAATGTTTACTAATTAAAGGGGCTGTCTACCGCTTGGAAAAAATTTTTGGATCGTGGCGCAAATGAGAATACCATTCGTCACGTTGGTGCCAACGAGCATGCTCTCGTCCCTCAAAAAAATACATTTGAATTTGACGTTGAAAGTCGACAAAATATCACGGCTAGCGTCGCCCAACAGCGATGTGGTCAATTTACTGGCAGGACAAGAAATCCCTGCAGGTACTCATATTGCCTAAAAAAAGAACATGTATAAATTCAAATTGCATGTTAGGCAATTGGTTGCACCAGAGAGCAATTTCTGCATTTATTTCTCATGCATTCAAAGAGGCGCCCGGTGGCACTGCCAGAGGTGTGTTCGCTTACCTGCAAACAGCGGAGAAACACGAGCATTGTGTTCACCGCCGCTTAGAAGAACAACAGAGGATGTCTGCATGCCATAAATGACTACAAAGGTATTCGTTTTATTATTAAGTAAAACTTGATGATGGCTGTGCAAAAATCAAACAATGTTTCAGTTTTCAACTTTCACTGGCAGTACAATTGTCATCGCCTCCAACGATCAGTATTGAGGGCATTCATTGTCCTTTAACGTTTAAATGGCAAGCTATTTATATCTACCACTTACCCCTGGTGATGGGCATCTCAGAGGGGTAAGGGGGGAATGTCATGTTTTCAGCATTACCAGAAAGATGGCGCAATGAGCGCATGGTGGCGCGCGCTCTTAGTTCCCGCGTGTACTTTGCCCCTCAGAGTAGAGAAGGTGGATGCTTGCTTACGTGCTCTTATCTCGCGGTGGAACGATCCTACGCCTTGGCTGGCGTTGGGCTTTTACTGGAGCGTTTATGTTGTAGTTACTGGGCGCACAAAGGTGATTGCAATCATTGCACAGTCTCTGTTTGCGAAAAAGGTGCGCTTTTCAGACACAGCAAAATAACAACCGAGACGCTTATTCACATTCATTTGTACCTGTGAGTACGTTTCATGCGTCATTTGTGCGTGAGAGCTGCGGGGCACATTTAGATCTGCTTGCCATTCAGCACGTGACCTTCCAATTTGTTGCTATTGCATTCATTGCTTTGCCTTAGGGTCAAAACTGCGACTTTTATTGCGACACAAAACAGAAAAGCAGTGAAGAATGGTAGACAGTCCCTTTAAGGCCAGTAGCTCGCTCGTTTCGGATTTGACCTGGCATAACTCTACAAAACACCAGCAGGAGGGAATTTGGGCACTCCAAGGAGCAAAGCGTCTGTTGTCTCAAACATGAAGTAAACAATTAAAGCACTGCATGTAAGATGATATACGAGTCATTTAATGACATCGGTCAAGACAGTGTGCAGACTGTGCCCTTTTTATCAAAGATCACAGGTTCCGCCCAATGACGCAGCCCCCCCCCCCCCCCTTCGACACCCCTTTATGCTCCTTCACCCAACAGAATCAGTCCCGGCGCATTTAATCTCTGATTGAGCTACACCCATCTGCAGCCTATGAAAGCTTTCGCTCACACACACAACGTATGACCTGCAGGGTGATGTTATTGATTTAGTGTTTGAACAGAACGAGACAGCAATGGTGGCAACAAAAGTGCACTTCTCTCGATCAAAATAAAGTTTACTCATCAAGTGCCCATAAACAGCAGACACTCAGTAAAACATCAACCTCTTAAATCAAACTGCTGCTCAAATGGGACAACTGCCTCTAATACGATCAATTTCGTACCTGAATCCTGTAACCCAGTTCATCTCTCAGTAATTAAAGCTTTTGCTAGACAAAACGTATCTTTTGGTCCCTTTAGGTTCAGTTTAATCCGTGTCTACTGTAATTGCAACTGCAATGAAATCAGCATACCAAGTCGAGCACAACAGGAGATGACGGTGTCACATCTGCAAACAGCGCTGGCCTTGGCGGGTAAGGGTGCTTGTCATCGTAAGGACCTGCCGAAAGAAGCTGAGAAAAAAATTCTTATTGGTCCTCTCCAAGACTACACAAAAGTGTCAAAATCTTAGTGGTGCACTAAAGAAAAAAGCGGTTCTACTTATAGCGTAGATAATTAACTAGGCCAGTGAAAACATTTGAGCACTTTAAATATTTGAATGAATACTGCAGTATTAAAATTTTCTTCAATGCAAGCCAAAACCTTCCAAAATTTGGAAGTGTTTGAAATGAACAAATAGAGATGTTCTGCAGCATGCACTCTGGTTGGACAGGTGACATCATTACAGCAAGAGTCCACTATACCCCCCCCCCCTCCTCGTGAAACCATCTATTCAAAGAAAATACACTGTGCAGTGAAGCCACACTTTAGAAGCCACAGTGGTGAATCGATTGATATGATATGTGGGGTTTGACGCCACGAAACCACCATATGATTATGAGAGACGCCGTAATAGAGGGCTCCGGAAATTTCGACCACCCGGGGTTCTTTAACGTGCACCCAAATCTAAGCATACGAGCCTACAGCATTTCCGCCTCCATCGAAAATGCAGCCGCTGCAGGCGGGATTCGATCCCCCGACCTGCGGGTCAACAGTCGAGTACCTCAGCCACAAGACCACCGCAGCGGGGCAAACACAGTGGTAGATTTCGGACAGTGTGCCAAATCTATGAGAGCGCAACACCTAAAACGTAGCGACCCGGTCTACCAGGATCGACCATTTGCGGTATTTTTTTGGCAGTTTTTACACTAGAAAGTATAGCACTTCGTTCAAGGCACAAAAAGAATAAAGACAACGCTTGTCACACTACAATAGTAGTAATACTGTGAATATACTCACAGCAATTAACTATGGACAACTGCACTAAGTATCATGGATTATTCACAAATTAAGGTAAGGCACACAAGCACGGGCGCAGGAGGTAAGAACCACACAGTTGCGTCATTCTGTTTTCTGGTGTCCGTATTCGCACACCTTAACTCCTGTTACGTTGTACGCAGCAAATGCAGGCAAGAGAATTGTCCCATGCCAACCTCAGCGTCGGGCAGCTCCGCGTAGGCGACTTTCGGCGGCAGAGGCGCAGGTTCACCTTGGGCGAAGGCGACGCTCATGTCGCTGGTTCGGTCGTTAGCCGCACCCACGCGAAGTCGGCGCAGCTCCTTCCTCAACAGAGGCATGAACTTTGCATACACGCACTCTTGAACAAACACTTGCACTCCACACGCCTCCCCCTGAAAAGGACCAGAGTAAACCAGCGACGAGGTGGAATTAAAGGTTCGGATTTTTTACCCACAAAGACTGCGATACGACTATGAGTCATGGAGTAGTTGGGGACTCCAGATTCATTGTAACTATGTGCGGAATTCTCGAAAGCTTTCGCTACCACTAAAGAGTGCAGTCATTATGAGATTTTCTGAGCAAATAACTGATGACAAATGTACCTGTCATCAAAGAAAATTGGTCCGCCACTGAACCAATGGTGACTACGCTCGTAGTTGTGTTTCCCGAGTTGACATAGCCATACTTATCCAAGTTGAGCCATGTGCATCTGGACTTTCATTGTACTGCTGCTTTTCATTGCACTATCATTCACTGAAGCCACCATTGAGTTATCTTTTTCTCTGTAATGCAATTAGTGAAATTAAAGAACACCAATGACTTAAAAGAATGGTACTTTTATTCACAGAAAGAAGAGAAATCTCGACAAATTTAGCAAAAAAGTTTTTTGGTACATATTGCACAATCCTGTTCTTCTCTTTCTTTCTTTGAATATGGTAGCAAAAGGGCAAAAATGTAGATAGTATTGTGAGAGACTCTACCAGCACTACCACTTCACCCACCCTTCCGCTGCTGTTGGCAAAGGACTGGCCGATGCCCGCCGCTGCAGAGTGCAAGTCGGCGCCCTCTAGCACCACGGCTATGGACCGGCCACAGCCCCAGTAGCTGGACAAGGACGTGGTAGGCTTCAGTGCTAAGGACTGGCGAAGCTCCCTGCAGCGACTGTGCGAAGCCACCACGTGCACGTGCCCGACGTCGTCCATCCCGAGGATTCCCTCGAATGGTCCGACCAGCACATTGACCAGTCCCGGAGGAAGTCTGCCACGAGGCCGCATAATGAGGATGGATTAGGTGAACTGATCAATCTACAGAGTCTGTCTGCAAAGTAATTAAACTGGGTTTGCTATAAAGAACTTATCGATGAAAGTGGCACACGATTTAAATTCTTCTAAATGCTAATTGTCTGGGGGTTAATACACCATTTCCAATGAGGTTCCCATGTTGAGAAGGCTCTCGGAAAGTCTACTGCCGTGACCTCCTTCAGAGACTCTGCAATAGCGCAATGGATGATGGGAGTACTGAAACAGCGACCTTTCTGGCGTCACGTAAGATTAGAGAAATGGTAGAAGTCTACAGCCGTGACAGTGCCCTGATGTGAATGTGGCACACTTGGAAGTTTGGCTTGGAAATAAGAATAAGTGAGCCATCTAAGCTCTAATCTCGATATAACGAACATGGATGTACCGAAATATAGATTCTAACAAATTAGCTATGATGTAGTCTCAGAATCAATACAGTTTAAAGAATTACCTTTATAACGAAGTTTCCTATGCAAGGCACTTATTTTCGTGTCAGATGCAACTTCATTATGATAAGTTTTGAATGCGCAGGGGTGTGTACATCAAAGCTGTATCATGGCTGTAGAAGCCCAGGCATAAGTTGAACAAACAGTTACCAGTTCCTTAATTTCAAAAGAAGCCAGAAAAGTTAATGTTAATGCATCTACAAGTGTATGCATTAGCACTATATCGTTAGTACACAGCCGTTCTCTACATGGAAATGTATACTCACATGCATTTCAACAGGTAGCACTGTGCCATTGCGCACCTATTTTTCATGAAGCTAAAGTTCTATCGACACACAGAGATCAAACCACACGAGAAAATAGTGAAACATATAATTTAAAAAAAAAAAAAGGGTGAACAATGCATTAGCACGCCTTTTATAGCCCTACGCGATAGCGAGGTTAGGTTCTTAGATAGCACCAATATCTTAACTTTTATGCTGTTGGAGAGTACACCTGGGGTATATCAAGGTTCAGCTGACCTGCCGTTTTTTTTTTATCTAGTGTAATCAGATTGGTGAGAAGATTGAAGTGTTCTTTTTTCGTTTTTTGTTTTCCAATAAATGTTCAGTTGCTAGTCAGCACTGTGGTTTGTTCCTTCTTCTCTTGTGTCTGCGTAATCATGTGCTGAGTTAATGATCTGTCACTGTATTGAGGTTGTAAGATACTGCGGTGCAAACAAAAACAAACATCCACTGTAATATATTAAAACCTCGATAACAAAATATCAGTTATAATGAAGTAAATTAAGATCACTCTTGCAATAGATATAGCGTTATAAATACAGTCGATCCCCGCTACAATAAATACCACTTGAACAAAATTTCCATTCTCGCCGCAACAGTGACACTTTTTATTCTGCCGTTCCGCTTCAACAAAATTTGACAATGCAATTTTAGACTCACATATTTGATGCCATGCAGTAAACAGAATCGAGCATTTTCATGCATTTTCAGCACATGAAAATCTACGAAAGTCTACTAAGTCTAAAATGTGCGCTGACACCACTAGAAACTGCCACCGTTTATTAAACATGGAGGCCGCCATTGCTTGATAGCGATGACAATGAGACAGGCCTGGTTTTGCCACTTGCTTGCTTTTGGGCCGCAAACAATCCGAAGCTGAAGCTTAGTTTCCTACACGCTGCTGCTGAGAGCAATCACATGATGCCTTTTCCGATGCCAGTGCTTTTGGTTATTTTCGCGCTTGGCCAATATGCTCACTGATCAGAGCGGCTGTTCACATGTGTTATCAACAATATAAGACAACTGCTACTAGTGGATGATAAGAATAGCATACAGTAAGGGATAAATCACCGCTCCATATACCACAGATGGATCTTGGTGTTGTCGGATACCTTTTGATGGCGGACAGCCACTGGTGTTAGCGTGTTAGTGCAACTGTTAGGTTCGTTCAGGAAAGCTGTCGTGGCCATTCTTTCAGCATGCTTTTCAACATGGTGTCGCTATCAATGTGTGAGAACCGCGTCAACGGAGCAGGGGAAAAAAGTGGAAGCGGCCGTCGCTTTGCAAATTTTCAAAGTTTCTTCATTTTGCTAAGTCAGGTCGACCATATTTTTTTTCGATTTCAGTTCAATAAAATTTTTGCTGCAACGAAACTTTTTCCATGCCCAGTTCATTTCGATGTAGCGGGGTACGACTGTATATCTCTATAACAAAAATTTTGATTATAATGAGCTTATTTCCATTTAAGATGCAACTCTGTCATACACTCAAAGCTAGACACAACGAATGCAGATGCAATGAAATATTGGTTATAACAAAGTAAACGAAAGATCATATGGCAATCGATACAGTGCTAAGAATAACCTTTGTAACAAATTTTCGGATATAACAAACTTCTTTCCTTGTAAGATGCAACTTTGTTATAAAAAAGAGGTTTGAGTGTAGAGACAAGTGATACAAAGAAGCTCACCCCCCGGCGGCACACATTTCGGCAAAGTGCATTGGCGCGAGGCTGCATTCACTTTTGGCGATTATGAGCAGCGAGTTGCCGGCAGCCAGGATCTCACCAACGCGCCACGCCGACACGGGGCAGGTCGCACGAACGTCTTCCAACAGCACCACGACAACACCTGGGTCACACCCGCCACTCATTGAGGAAACCAGAAGCAATTTGAATCAAAGTGTTAAAAAGGGGTCACACATAGCCACCGTACAATTTTCAATTTTTAGCAAAAAATTGAAATAGAGGGCCTCTATTTTGCCTACACATAAAGAAAACTGGATGGCAAAAGATTACCGCATTTACTCCCGTAATGAACGAACTCGCATAATAAACACACTCCCAACTTCAGTCGTCAAAATTTGTATTTTTCCCCCTCGCATAATAAATACATCCCCTACATTCATCCACCGCCACCTCGGATCGCTCCCTCCCCCCCTTTTGCCTGCTGCTGCGAGCTGTAGTGTTTTTATATTTATCTGTGCGTGACATGTCTTATTAATTATCTGTGCACCACAGCACGGTTCACAAACGGTGCGAATGTAGAGACATGGCAGCTTACAAACACACAGCGAGCGTAGGTCACGATACTGCCCGCACCAATTGACAGTCGCTTCCTGCAATTGCCAAACTTTAAGGCCCAACCACATGCACGCGATTTTTGAGCAACAATGACTGGATTCGCTGTCATTAAGGTTGTCGCGAGGGGTCGTTTTTCGCCATCGTGTCGCAGGTTTTTGGAAAACCAACAAAAAATCGCTCGTCGCTCAGAAAATATTGTGACGATTTCCGTGAAATGGTAGTACCCCTGATTCTTGCTTTGGTTGCAATTTACTCTCAGTGCTTGTTATCCACGTGTACTTCAAGGAACGCAAGACATAGGCTATGTTTTCTACAGTAACTTCTCACATGAACATCGACGTGGCGGCCATATTTTGTCGTTAATCTTGTTATTAATGGTTTGTTTTGATGCCTCGGTGGTTGCATGCTGCAATGTTGGTTACTTGCTGCTATGTCAATGGTGGCAGTGCAGTCGTCATGAGAGGTAGCCGCGAAGCTGGCAAAGTGCGTCATAACGTCTTGGCGCAAGCTTCAGGCTGTCCCTCAAGATCACAGTTGATTGATTTGTGGGGTTTAACATCCCAAAACCACCATATGATTATGAGAGACGCCGTAGTGGAGGGCTCCGGAAATTTTGACAACCTGGGGTTCTTTTAACGTGCACCCAAATCTGAGCACACGGGCCTACAACATTTCCGCCTACATCGGAAATGCAGCCGCCGCAGCCAAGATTCAATCCCGCAACCTGCAGGTGAGCAGCCGAGTACCTTAGCCACTAGACCACCCCGGCGGGGCCCCTCAAGATCACGGCAGATACCACAGTTGCAGTTAAAGTTTGCGAGAAAAGGTAGCCACGAAATGCTTTTATGGCATGCGCAGGCAGCGCGGGGACAGCTTGCAAAAGATAGTGCCATAAATCACCGAATATGAGTGAAGCGCAACAAAGTAGCTGTTTCCAAACACTGTATGCATATGTAAATTCAGAAAGGCTAAGCGACCTAACTTTTTTTTTTGCATTACCACATATGTTGCCTATCCCGAAAAAATTTTCATAAAAGTTACCCCACATAATAAATGCACCTCCAACTTTTCTTTGATTTTTCGAGAAAAAAGTGCGTTCATTACGCGAGTAAATATGATATTCCAAGTAACACCTAGAAGTAACCGGCTATAGAACCCGCCCACCGCCAGCGACCGCCATTTCGCTACCGTTTGTGTGGCGTCGTCTGCTTTATGGAATGAAACCGTTGTCTTAGAACAGAGCTTCGGCCACTGTAAATCGTTTAACACCAATGCGAAGCTGAAAAAAGCTGAAAAATCTCAATTGCATGTACAGCCGACAGAAATACAGAAAACTTGGGAGCTAAAGTTATGGTGTGGGTTACATGAGATTTTCTGTTTGAAAGGTGGTTTCACGGCAGTGCTTTAAGAAAGCCCTGCAACAAGAAAGCCCTGCAACTTTTTAAGAAAGCCCAGCAACTTTTAGACCGTGGTCAGAAAACGCTGCCAATCGGTAGTCGAGGCTTCCCAGAACACCTAAGCTAAATATTATAGCGGAGCACATGGCCTGGAATTCACAATAAATTCTCAAAGTGGGCTAGAAATTGTTTTCTTTTTGTACAAATGACAGAAGCAGCTCAAAAACCACTCATCACGGTCGTTCTATCAGCCATTTAGCTCATTTGAGCATTGCACACTCATGAGTTACAAGGGCCACTGCGAGAAGCCTCGACTTATTCGCGCGATCACGCTGAAAAGCCTTGTATTAAAAAAAGAGAGAGAGAGAAATTGAAAAAGTGTTTAAGGTCACAGGGCACGCATAACATTTTTTGCCGTGCCATCCCTCCCTGTTTAGCTTCCCAGTTCTTTCGTCGGTATGAGAGAAGAGAAAATGCCATTGCAACGTGTGAGAAATCTTTGTAACTCCCCTTGTACTGAACGGATTCTAAAAGTTTTTGAGGCGGTGAATTCGTGAGGCAACAAGCTCCTTCAGTGAACTCATTGCATGGCTACTTGACAAAGTGTTGCAAGGCACCTTTAAGTCAATGCTAGGAACATGACAATGCCAGCGATGGGAGAAACGTCCAGTAGTTAAAAAACAGGGGAGTGACAATTCAGACTGTCATCAAATGAGAATGAAGTTTTAGAGCTATCGCTGTGCTTCTACAGGTAAATATGCAGCAAACAGCTAGTTCCACGAACCTGACCTTCGAGCTCAGTCAAGGTTCTGCTAATGTCTCCGAGATGTAGTAGCGCCGCTGAAAATTGTTCACACATTGCCAGCAAAAAGGCGCAATGTTCTCACCAAAACGCTCACACCGTTTTTCCAGTCAGTCACTGGCACATATGGTATTTCAAATCTTCTGCAAAGGGAAAGGGGGCGCTAGTTCGAGTAAGGTTGCTCAGGGTTTTACAGTAATTTACACAGTTAAAAGAGACACTAAAGGCAACTATTAAGCAGACGTTTATTGTTGAAATAGCGGTTCAGAAAACCTTGTTGTGTCACTTCTGTGCCAAGGACGTGTTTATTTTGAAAACAAAATTACGTTTGAATGGTGTGCATCGGGTTAGCGCACTTCAAATTACCTGCCTGAAGTAGAATGTCTCAAGTCACTGTTGCGGTGCAAAACGTTGCCCGGCTTTACTGCGCGACCGCCGGCACTAGTAGCAGCAGAACGAAAGCAGCGGGAGCCACAGCAGCAAGTACGGCCATTGATCAATTTCCTGCCATTGCCTCCGAGATGGCAGACGTCTTTTGGTCAACTAGGCCCCGCTACATGGCAAGACCTGTCCTGTTTAACCAGGCGAAAATTGAACTTTTGAACCACTCGTGCCATTCCCCATAGTGTTGTCCGTCGGCTCTTTTTCCACAAATCAAGCAGAAACGAACAAGCAGCATTTTATTACGTCTCTTGATGCAAGGAAGGTTCTTTATTTAGCGCAGTAAGATCGATTACAAGTGATTAACTCTAGGCAGTTCGTCTCACGTTATCAGGATCGTTTCCCAAATATCCTACTACGGCGCACGTATTTTTGTGCATTTACCTTAATTTCTTGGTTAGTCGGCCACTGCTGTTGTTAATAGTCATTTTACCGTCATACCTTGAGCTTTCACTCTCACGTAAATTGTTATTGGACTTTAGTGTCCCTTTAAGTGCACAGAGAACCCACTTACACCTATTTGATCTCCAATTTTTCTGCGGGTTTAGTTGCAGACGCGATTAACATGCTAACATGGGTGGTTATATGTGAGCAAGCACAGTACGCAAAGGTGAAAACGTTTACTCGTTGAAGTCGAGCTTTAGGTAACAAAGAACGCCACGATAAACGAAGCACTACATTTCAGTGACTCACCCCTCGGCGTAGATTCCGGGAAGCGCTCATTAAGTGTCATGGCAACGCCCGCATAGTGATACAGGTATCGCACCATCTGCGATGCCTCCTCCATGCAGACGGGTATGACCTTGCCCGACTGTAGGCTCTGCATTTCTCCAAAGCTCGTCAGATGCTTCTGCACACTTCGAGCCAGGCTGCAAGCATGAAGATTGTCAGGAGGAGGAATCATTCAACGTGAAGAAAGGCTAGGTCACTTACAATTAGCTTGCCCCTTGGCTAAACTGGTTCTCTATTATTCTCGGTGACAACTTTGTTTGCTTCGAACTTCAACTTTTCTTTAAAGGGAAATCTACGTGGAGCTTTTGCACAGATGACTCTACAAGAAGTAGTGGGATTTGGCGCGCGTCTTCTGATGCTGTGGAAAGTGACGGGGGCGTGCCATCAGCGTTGATATAGACGCAGCCACTGCTTAAAGTTTGAAGAAGAGCTGGGACTGATCTTGCGCGTCCGAAAGTGCTTAATGAATACAACTGTCTTGCTGGTGTGTGCTGTGTCCTGCCTCCAATAGCTCCATGTAGAAAATAAAGGAGGAACTTTAACATTTCACATTGAAAATATGGCTGCTACTGTGGAATTACATTCATTGGTGGTAGGATGCACACGATTCAGCTTTTCCTTCGCTTCAATGCCAAGAAAAGTTGTTGCCGAGTGTAGTACTATACAATATTTAAAAGGAGTCATGGCACTTTCCTCCCCGTTATCTGTTCTGTGCTTCTTTTCTGTTTTCTTGAGAAGACACATGCATTAAAGAAACGCCTACATTGCACATCCATCACGTCAACTTGAATGCATGTGCTAGCCGCAGCCCTTATTATCCGATGGATTACTAGGAGCTACAGCAAAATGTACTATAACTAGTCTTGTTTCTTGAATGTAAGTATGTCACTTAAGAAAAACTGTCTTTATTTGTACTCGATACTAAGACGAACTAGAGGATGAAGAACGTACGTGCCGGCTGAGTTATTCTGTAGTATGTGCTAGACACATCTTAGTTTTTCAGTTACATGACTGGGCTGAACAAAAAGCCTGAATAGCTCCGAAGTTGAAATATTGATGACACATTAGTGCCCGTCCCGTGCGGTGTGTCACGTCTTAAATTACAAAACCTTAAGGAGTACTGACAAAAATTTCGCATATCTTTAGGTTGTAGCTTTAAATAAAAACACGGGTGTTGACAACTGTAAACCGAGTGTCGTGGTGCTTGGGAAAGTCACTGAATATATCTTTAGTACACCTCCCCCCCAACACCTTAATACAGCAATTTCGGTTTCGGTGTCGAGAGAGTGGCTTCGCAGTGACGTGTCAAGACACATCTGACATCAAGAGAAAACTGCAACTCGCAGTGTATTAGCAACAACAGCCGGTTTGCTGTCAGTCACACATAGTTCACGTAAAAAAGAATGAGTGAATAACAGTCCAGAGGCTCTGACAGCAATTGCTGTGATTTAGGCTGCATGCAGCATGAAACTCTGCCGGAGAGAAACGACAGATCACAGCACATCTTGTGGAACTGCATCAAACACCCAGAGAAAGAAAGATTAAAAAAATCTTGTGGCGGCTCGAGGCAGCCGCGAAAAGCTACAACAAGAACAGCTCTGGGCCATGCAGCAGGTCCTCGGGACGCCTGAAAGGAAGGGACCCAGTGAGCCGGCGAGTGGAGACCCGCGCCGAGTAACGGCAACACTAAAGACGACGCAGGCCCCCGTCGGAGTGCGCGAGCGCCCAACTGCAGACAAAAATAAAGTTTATCCAATCCAATCAAACCCAGTAAACTGTGTTGACTTGTCGGGATAATGTCCATTGCGGTGGGGCTAGCATGACGGTGAACTTTAAAAACAAAGTAGAATATTTACGTGTTGTCTGGCTCTAGTGTGCGCAGAGTGTTGATAATGCACACCATGAAACTGAAAGATATCCCTTTTGTGGAGCCTCAGAATCATGTAAGTACTCCTTTAACTGTTGAGAAAACCACAGATGTGTCAAACTGGACTAACTTGTAGAGGTGGGTGCAGCGTGTGTACGGATCCATCTTCGCCCAGGCGACCTGTGCAGCCGTGGACGACTCCAGGGTCCGGCGGTAGAGTGCCTCATCCATACCCGCCACGTGGGCTAGCACGGCATTGGTAGCAGGGCTTTTGACGGCAACAATATGGGCATCACCTTTGTCAGCTAACAGCAGTTTTCCATCCACGAAACCATGCAGGTTGCCACCCTGGGCCTCCAACCATTTCTGCGGGGAATTTCTTCAACATCAGATTATTATTCTTACTTGGAACTACTAGTTTCATTCTGTATGCCACTAGTAAGCAAACTTTTCTGTTTACTACAACTTATGTACTTTGCTTTCTTTTTCTTTATTTCGAATTTAATGGACTGTTGTTAGCAGGTAAACAATATTTATGTTATGATGATATCAAATTTGAATTGTTTAGTTCTGTTTAATTTGATTAGAAGTATTACAGTTTCTGTTACGTTTACTTCCAATGGGACCCGCACTAGCCTTTGGCTATAGGACCATTCAGTTTGTGCATAACCTGTATAAGATACGTGTGCAGTAAAGAACATTCACTCAATCATTATTTCACACCTGTGGCTAAAATCAAGTCCTTTCCTGCAATCCACAGCCATCCCTTTCTCGAGTCGACCGACACAATCCCGAGCCAGGAAGTTTACGACTTTCGTCGCTTTCAGTTCAACTGAGCTCGCCTTACACGACTCAAGATGGCATTAGAACAGGCTGCGATTGGTTCAGAATCTAGCTGCATGGTTTATTATGTCCCACCATGATGACTCGTCAAGCATCACTTATATCGAGATGTCTCTAGACTCGCAAAATCTGGTTGACAGACGCACATTTCCCCTGACTCTCGCTTGTTACATCGGCTGCATTACTGTTTTCCTAGCTGCCTATTACTTTCGCCGCTTATTCCCGTCAACTGTTGAACTTCGAAAGCCCCCTCCCCCCCATGACTTTTACGTGCAATCACTGTGTTCAACAAATCATCTCTTCCCGAAATCATCAGAGAATAAAATAACTTACTGCAAGACATCATCGCAGAGCATGACTCGTGCAGATTTAATAAGCTCTTAAGGCTCACTCACACTCAGAAACACATCAACACTCCGCCTATAGTGCTCTATTTTTGTACCACATGTAATATAATATCCGCTAAGCTGTATACCAAATTGAAGCGTTTATTACGTAAATGCGTTTACCAAGAATTTAATAGTAAGGCGTCTTTTAGACATAGTTTACTAATGCAGTCAGTGTACTGTTAAACTAAACCAATACCTTTACACTACTCTGAAACTGAAACCACAACCATCGCAGGAATTCCGGCTTCGGTCACCACCGGCGGCGATTCACTATTTTATTCGCATGCATTAGGTAATTTTCATTCCATGTCGTACGTAACAAACTAGAATTAAAAGCTACAGATCACGTTCCCCAAGCCACTTGAAGGTGGTCGCTCGTTGCCGACACATTTTCAAAACCACACTGTATTGTCACGGCGTTTGCACGAGGTAACAAAAACTCAGCGGGTCTGAAAAACCGGTCGTTCGTCTGCAATCAAGGTCGGGTCGTCGAGATCCTCGATTATCACGGAGCGGCTGTACGCGAAGAGATAAGACCGGCGTGGCGGTCGCTTCGGCGTGCAGCCGTTTAGCGCGCATGTTACGTGCAAACCTCGCACTGTGCGGTAAGAATAAACACCTGGTTCTCTCACCTTGGCACAATCACACGGGTCCATCACCTTGTCGTACTGTGGACGCTCGAAAACGCTTCTAACGGTGACAGGGGTTGCACCGGCGAGTCCATTAGAAGACTTAGCGGCCATTTTCAAATGTATGTTCTGCGGGGTTTTTCTCTAACTAGCGCTGTTACAACTAGTGGTTCGTACAAAAACAATAACTGCAATTTCGCTCTAAAAGTACATTGATATTATAAATTATATCTTTCTTTCTTTATGATATATAAAAAAGCGCAACATTTATGAAATTAAAAGTTTAGGACCGCACTTATGGTGGCCATCTTTCTAGGGGCATAATAAATTATCACCGTTCAGCGAATAAAAATGAAGCGTTTCCCTCGCACGCCCAACAAGTTTAATGTGGGAACTTTTCTGGTCACATAGTGGTCCAAGTGCGTCTTACAGTTAACAGTTTTCCTTAGTGAGCCTCTAATTGGAGGCAAAGTTCTTTGAAGATTCAGTCATCTATACTCGTTTCTGTGTGTTATTTCGTCGGGAACAACTTTTAACATAGAACTGACGTTGCATTTATATAACAAATCAAAGCCACTTGATCTTTAAGTGGGCACCATCAGAAAATAGCATGTTTCCGCCATCTTGGCAGTGGCAAAAGACTGCTTCACTTCTGCTGGCAAGGCATTGATGGAGCTTCCACTCCAGCAATTTTTCTTTAATCCTCCTTGAATGGCACCAAGGAGGATACATAAAACTTCTTGAATGGCACCCGTCCTGGCAAACTTTGGCTGCTTTGGCTAGAGTGTACTAGAAGTGTACTTTGGTAATCTCACTAAATCAAGCAGCGAACAAATTATCAAGTGACACAGCTGGAAAGGCAGAATGATTCATCTTTCTATCCGTATCAGCGTTCGCTGTTGCACAAATTGTGTTGTGTGTAATGGGTTCCATAACGGCAAAGTGTACCCACAAAGCGGCACCATAGAAGTGTGGCGGCTTGGGCTAGTTGGTATGGCATGACGGTAGTTATAGCGCGAGAACAAACTGACGACACAGTGCCCTTCGTGTCCTTCTTGTCTCTGTGTCGTTTTGTTCTCGCGCTATAACTACCGGCGCCATATTGTTTGAGACTGAGGGAAGGTGAAAGCTTAGGCGCCAAGTTCAAATCACTTGCCCGCCAGTAACCTTCCCTCTCAAATCGTATCGTGTAAGGTAGTCCCAGGTGCAAAATAAAATAAATGAACCAGCTCAGAAAAGCTAGATAACTTATAAAACCATCGCAAAAGCTCTCTGCGTTTTTGTCACGACGTTGATTTTGATAATAGTAATAATAAGGCAGGTTCCAAGCTTGAAGCAAGTGCAGAGCTGGTTAGCGTTCCTTGTTTCTCTTTACTTCAACAGCGGGGTTATTTAAGCAGGGCGTAATGTGCCCGCTGAATTCGAAAACTGTCGTCATCCCCAGCGAGTCTTTGTCCTCTCTATTTCGTCCGCTTCATTATGGCAGCTAATTTTGGCCCCGGCGAAAAGCGGGGTGAAGAAATAACGAGTATACAGGATGACAAAGAAAGACAATGAGAGAGACGAAAAGGTAGAAGGCGAGAAAACACACAGACGAGAGAGAGAGAGAGAGAGAGAGAGAGAGAGAGAGAGAGAGAGAGGATTTAAAAGAAAGAAAGACAGAGAGAAAAAAGATACAAGGCAGCATTCAGAAAAATATATAGAAAAAAGAGGAGAGCTATAGGTTAGCCACGGAAAAAAGCGTCTCTTTTTGTTTTAAGCGTCTTTATTGGGGTCAGCATTTCTTCGAATTGATACAATATGCATCCTCCCCCTACCAGACGAGATTTCGTCACACCCTGGCTCTCACAAGCGCAGCTATATGTAACGTATAGACTATTATTCGGAGTGATTTCCGTGCCACTATGTTAGGCTAGCTGTTAACATTTGTGATATAACCCTGTTTTAACAGCTAGCGAACCGTGCGTACGGTGGACGCACACGCATGAAAACGATTGAGTTGGTGCACACGATATCTCGTGGCTTACTTATTTCGCGTCGCATTATAAAAAAACACAAGAAAACATCACTTATCAGCCCGAGATGGCGGCGTTAGCATAATGCACCCCGGCGATAAAGTGGGTGCGCAGCAAGGGAAACGAGGAGGTGAGAGGGTTGAGTCAAGCACAGAGAAGTTACAGAGGCGCTCCATACAGCTTCCTCAATCTTTGTACCAATAGTGCGTATCTGCCCAAATAACGCGTTCGATGTTCTCGAACGCGTTATTCGGAGGTCGTAGGTTCGATTCCTGCTCACAGAAGTTATTTTTTCACCCTCTCTTCTTTCTTCTTATTTACTTTACATTGGTTCTAATAACTTCCTTTATACATTCCTTGGCATTATTGTCTGTTAGATCTTGTATATATATATATATATAATATGAATCTCACGAGCCCGTCATTCTATAAAAAATTGAAGCAAGCTGGCCACCT